TTTTTTTTTTTTTTTTTTTTTTTTTTTTTTTTTTTTTTTTTTTTTTTTTTTGTTGGTAATATGTAACCGTCCAAACCCACGGTTAGTAAATATTGTCTACTTTGGCTTATTACGTATAGCCGTTAGCCTCATGGTTTTTAATACGTGTCTGTTAGGGAGAGGTTTCTACACCCTTATAAGGAATGTTTTGTCCCCTCTCCAACCATTGTGGGATCTCACAATCCACCCTCTTTGAGGCCCAACGTCCTCGCTGACACATTGCCTAGTGTCTGTTTGGCTCTGATACCATTTGTAACAGCTTTAGCCCACTGCTAGTAAATATTGTCCGCCTTAGCTCGTTACGTATCACCGTTAGTCTCACGGTTTTTAAAACGTGTGCTAGGGAGAGGTTTCCACACTCTCATAAGGAATCCTTTGTTCCTCCCTCCAACCAATGTGAAATATCACAATCCACCATCTTTTGAGGCATAGAGTCCTCGCTGGCACACTGCCTAGTGTTTATTTGGCTTTGATACCATTTGTAACAACCCAAGCCCACTGCTAGTAGAATTTGTCCATTTTGGCTCGTTATGTATCACCATTAGCCTCACTGGTTTATAAAAAGCGTATGTTAGGGAGAGGTTTCCACACTCTTATAAGGAATCCTTCGTTCCCCTCTCCAACCAACGTGGGATCTCACAATCCACTCTCCTTGAGGTCCAGCAAGACGCTGACACATTGTCCAGTGTCTGTTTGGCTCTGATACCATTTGTAATAGCTCAAGCCCACCCTAAGTAAATATTGTCCGATTTGACCCATTACGTATCACCGTCAGCCTCGCGGTTTTAAAACGAGTCTACTAGGGAAATGTTTCCACACCCTTATACGAAATGTTTCCTTCCCCTCTCCAACCAACGTTGGATCTCACACTAACCTATGGGGTCTTCTCCCCAGCCATTTTCAATCATTTTCAGATAAAGAATCTCCCAATTCATCAAAGAACAAACCACGTACTCCAAAAGATGGGAACAAAGGGGTCATAAAGCTCATCACGTTCATAAAAATGAAATCAACTACACAATTAACCTCAAAATCCCTCTCCTCACACAAATTCCCACGAACTCAAAGAGAAAAGCCAATGAAACCATACCTCATCGTTTCCATTAGGTTGATTCTGAAACCAATTGATACTCAAAACCTAATGGGTATCAAATCAAATCACCAAATGAGTATCAAAAACCAACCAAAATCCAAGAGAATTCAAACCACAGATCCAAAAGGAAGAGAGAAAACAAAAACCCAGAAAGAGATAAGAGAGACCTGAACTTGTGCCATGGGTGAAGGCGATTTGAGGGTATCAGAAAACGAAGCCAGAGCACAAATGATAGCAAGTATGGTAGCCGCAAAGGTCACCAAAGCGTTGGCTCGATACCCAAATGAATGCATTCTTCAAATGGGTTCCTCGCAGCGAGAGAGGAGGAGGGAAAAAGAGAAGAAACAATGCGAGAGACTTGGAAAAGAAATGGAGTCTCGAACATAGCAGAAGGAATCCATATTTTCAAATTTAACTCTGCTTCACAGCCTCCTCGTCCGTCCCCATCTATTCTATTTTCCGTTCACAATTTTCTATTTATTTTTAGGATGTTTATTATTCTTTAATTTTTTTTTAATTATTTTCATTTTTGAATGTAATGTTTATTTAAACATTCTAATGAATTAATATATTTGATGAGTATATATTAATATTTCATTAGAGGAGAGATTTCAAGAAATGGTAAATCTATTCACTCTATCAATAACCGATCGGCTGTATTATAAGGGATTTGCCTTTTCTATTGATTCCTATGGATAGGACTATCAATAACTGATCGGCTGTATTATAAGGGATTTGCCTTTTCTATTGATTCCTATGGATTGGACTATCAATAACCGATCGGCTGTATTATAAGGGATTTGCCTTTTCTATTGATTCCTATGGATTGGACTATCAATAACCGATCGGCTGTATTATAAGGGATTTGCCTTTTCTATTGATTCCTATGGATTGGATCAAAAACAACTCTTGAATGAGATCAGGTGTATCATGAGGGATTTTTCTTTTCTATTGATTCCTACCGATTGGATCAAAAACAATTCTTGAATGAGGTATTCAACTATAGGGATGAATAGAAAAAGAAATGTTTATTGGTTCTACCTCCTATTTTTTAGGAAGAGAAAGAATCTTTTTATCGAACGATTAGAAAAAAAAAAAAAAAAAAGGGTCCCGACCCGGGAATGATTTGGAAGATCCTAAACAAAAAATAGTGGTATTTGTTAACAACAATATAACAGGGACAGTCAATCAATATTAAATTTTGTACTTGACTGTTTGGTACATTTACTAATGATAAAAAAAACATTTTTTGAAATATTTTCAAGTTTGTATTAATAAATTTTTAAAAAAAGAGTTTTTTTTTTTTAAGTATAGTTAAAAATTAAGGGTATTGTGACGATTTTTTTAAAAGTTAAAAGGGTATTTTTGAAATAAAATATAAAATTTAGGGATATTTTCTGATGTAATATGATTATTAAATTCAAAGTTAAATTAATAAAAATTCTCTTAAAACTATGTATTTTATCTAACAATACTCTTAAATTTAAAAAAAAATGCCATTAAACATTAAAAAATACCATTGTCAATGGAAACGTTAATACTTATTTCAAAAATATTCTTTTAATTTTTAAAAATGTTCAATAAATACCCTTAAATTTTCAAAAAAATACCCTTTAAGTTTTCAAAATTTTCATTAATATTCTCGAACCTTTTTAAAAACTTCAAAAGCACCTATACTTTTTTGAAAAATTAAAAAAATACTCTTTGATACGTGGAAATCACTCTAAAGGGAGTAAGATTCATATTACCTTGTTGATCGAATATCTCAAGGCAAGAACATTGTTTGAGATTCGAATCACTCCACAAGCAAGATTGATCATGTCTAACTTGAATGATTCTTGTTGATCAAATATCTCAAGGCAAGAACACTTGCTTGAGATTCAAATCACTCCACAAGCAAGATTGATCATGTCGAGCTTGAATGATTTTACATGCAACCTAAACTATACAGAAATTAATAAAATTTTCAAGGTATTATTGAAAGTTTTGGGGTATATTTGAAACAAATTACAAAGTTTAGGACATTTTTATTAATTTAGCCAAAATTCGAATGGTAATGGCCAATTTCCCATTATACCCCTACTCCTCTATGTAAACATGCATTTCAATGGCCCATAATCCACTTTAACCAAAGATGGGCCAAGACAATTATGAATAATTGGGCTTCTTTTTTAAAAAAAAAAACAATAATTAAAAATGAAAATATTTTCAAAGATTCAAAATATCTATAACAAAAAGTTCCTTATCGCTGTTAGCTTCATAGTTTTAAAACGCGTCTGCTAAGAAGAGATTTTCATACCTTTATAATGAATGCTTCGTTTCCTCTCCAACCTCCTTGTCTACGACTGCCCATGTCCACCGCTACTAGATATTGTCTTTCTTGGGTTTTTCCTTTCGGACTTCCTCTCAAGGCTTTAAAACGCGTCTGCTAGGGAAGGTGTTTTGTTCTTCTCCCCAACCAATGTGAGATATCACAGTCCACCCCTCTTCAGGGCCCAGCATCCCCACTGACACTCATTCCTATCTCCAATCGATGTACGAGCCTTGTCAAATTCACCCCCCTTCAGGGCCCAGAGTCCCCGCTGGCACTCGTTCCTTTCTTCAATCGATGTGGGACTACCACCCCCCTTACTGACACACCGCCTTGTGTCTACTCCCCTTCGGGGAACAGCCTCCTCGTTGGCACATAGTCCGGTGTCTGGCTCTGATACCATTTGTAACGGTCCAGGTCCACCGCTAGCAAATATTGTCCTTTTGGGGCTTTCTCTCAAGGCTTTAAAACTCATCTATTAAGAAAAGGTTTTCACACCCTTATAAAGGGTGTTTCGTTCTTCTCCCGAACCAATGTTGGATATCATACTCTAATACCAGTTGTAACAGCTCAAGCCTACTACAAACAGATATTGTCCACTTTGATCCGTTACGTATCACCATCAACCTCACGATTTTAAAACGCATCTACTAAAAGTGTTTTACATATCCATAACAATACAGTGAGTGTTTTAGAACTGTTCCAAGATATATTGAAAATTCAAAACATTACACACTAATCAATCAAAGAAAGATTCAACCGTTAAAAAAAAAAAAAAAAGTTAAATCTTTATAATCTTTCCATTCTCTAAATAAAACAAACAGTAATTTACCTCGTGGTAGATGTTAGCTGTTCGAGTCTCCTAAGTTGATCGGAATGATGATTTTACCATGTGAAATTACACAAATACCCCACAAAACCATGGTGGAGATCCCTGGCATATTAAAAAATAAATGACCTTTTTGTGGAAAAAGTTAATTATTATTTTCATTGGGATCCAAAACCCTAATAGATTTGTTGGAAAAGTATGTCACATGGGACTCTCTCCCTCTAGGCATTTCTCTCTCTAGATGAGTAATTTTTGTAATTTTGTTTAGGTTCAAAGAAACCCATAATGAAAATGTATTGATGTGACCAAAAAATGAAAAGGAATTGAATTTTATTTCAAAAGATATAATTATTGGTTTGTGCTTTATCACATATATATATATATATATATATATATATATATATATATAGGTACAAGATTGATCCGAAATCTCGAGCAATTTTGTTTAGCTCGTAAGGTTTGTGTTGGATTATTGATAAAAAAAATAACTCATTGATCTGATATCTTGAGCATCTTAATCTAGCTCATAAGGGTTGTGTTGGATTAGTAACGAAAAAAGAAAAAAGACTCATTGGCTTGAAATGTCGAGCAACTTAATCTAACTCGTAAAAGTTGTGTTCGATTATTTACAAAAAAAAGACTCATTGGCTTGAAATTTCGAGCAACTTAATGTAGCGGTTATGTTCGATTATTTACAAAAAAAGCTCATTGACTTGAAATTCCGAGTGGCTTAATCTAGCTCGGAAGGTTTGTGTTGAATTATTAACAAAAAATAACCCATTGGCCTGATATTCGAGCATCTTAATCTAGCTCATAAGGGTTTTGTTGGATTATTAACAAAAAAAAAAAAGAAAAAAAAAATTCATTACCTTGAAATCTCGAGCAACTTAATCTAGCTCGTAAGGTTTGTGTTAGATTATTAACAAAACAATAACCCATTGACCTGATATCCTGAGCATCTTAATCTAGCTCGTAAGGTTTGTGTTGGATTATTAACAAAAGAAAAAATCGATTGATCTGAAATCTCGAGCAACTTAATCTAGCTTGTAAAGGTCGTGGTCGATTATTTACAAAAAAAAGCTCATTGACTTGAAATTTCGAGCGGCTTAATCTAGCTCGTAAGGTTTGTGTTGGACTATTAACAAACAAAATAACCCATTGACCTGATATCCCGAAATTAGGGTTATAACCCAACCTAATCCTACCATACTCGTAAAATTATTATGAATATTAAAAATATTTGACGTTTGTAACCGATGTTAGTGATTTGTGAATATTTCATATTTTAACCTTATGAGATTTTAGTTATAATCGGAATATCTCATAAATAACTAAAAAAAAATAACTCCGACAACCCAACTAAAAAATAGAGAGTTGAGTTGTGAACTCTATTTAGGTCGGTCACCCTGGTCAACGACCCAACAAATCCAAAATTTCGAGTTAGTTTAGAAGATTTCCCTAACCCAACCTATTTACACACCTATAGTCGGATTGAGTAGAGTTCATTATTTGATAAGGGTTACTTGATCGGGAAAAGATTATAACCCGAACATTTTAATTAGGTCTGAACCCGATCTGATCTGACCTAACCCATGAATACCTCTATTGCATGTGACTTTTGTCGTGGTTAACTGAGTTAAACCAAACGAAATCAATTATAGAAATTAGTAAATTATAAATATAAATATAAATTATGGTTCAAGATTGAAATCATATCATTAAGCCATGCATTGTCTAACAATTATTGTGGTGACTATGCATTGCTATGATCACTTTCTAGGTTCAACAACGTCTCATCATAAACCATCTAGAATTCTTATCACATGCATTAACTTTCTTTGTTTTTTTAATTTAATTAATAGAACTCCCTAAACTAAACATCATTAAGATAAAAACGTCACGTCATGATACTAATTTGCGGTATATCTATGCATGTAACAGCTCATGCTCACCGTTAATTGATATTGTCCTTTTTGAACTTTCCCTTTATAGGCAAGGGCTTTCTCTCGAGGTTTTAAAACGAGTTTGTTAAGAAGAGGTTTTGTGAGGTTCCACATTGGTTGGGGAGGAGAAGAAGCATTCGTTATAAGGGCGTGAAAATCTCTCTCTAGTAGACACGTTTTAAAGCCTTAAGGGGAAGCCTGAGAGAGAAGGCACAAAAAGGACAATATCTGCTAGCAGTGAGTAGTTACAAATGGTATCAGTGCCAGACATTGGGTGATGTGTAAGCGAGGAGGCT